ATATATATATATATATATGTGCATAAAAATTACATTTTAAAGAAAAAAATAGAAAGAGAAAATACAATATATATATATGTATGTACACCTTTGATAATCTCCTAACTTTAATAATGTTGCTAATCCCTGACTTTTTACTCTATGTGATTCCTCGTTCCTCAAAAGTTCAGCTGTTTCATTCACAATTTTTGCTTTTTCCAAAGTGTCAGGTGTTACTTCTCCTAATTCAGCGAACACCCAGAAAATCTTGGCTCTAACTGCAATTTCATTTTCGACAACAAATCTCTCTGCTAATTTCTTTATAGCAATGGGAACATCCTCTGGCGCTATATACGCTATAGCATCCGAAATACGAACAAGCAATTGCAATGCATCATTTCCACTTTTACATTTTTCCAAGCATTCTATGTAAGCTAATGCTGAGCTACTGTCAGTACCATTCTTCGAACCAGACGTCGATAATAACCTTAAAGTCTTTAGCCGTTTGATTGGAGGCTCATTGACAATCTGATTAAAAATTTTATAATTCATTAAAATAATGATTTAAGTAGTTATGCTGTACAAATAGAAAAAAATTATGATATAATATTACCGCCTGACTTTGATTAAATTCAGCTAGTACTCGTTTTTTTATTAAAGCTGCCATTCTCGGGACCAATATCTTATTTCATTATGAGTTTAAACACTATCTCTTCTCAGATTAATTTATAATTTTGACATATTTTGATAGACCTGCAATATATGTAATATAATCTTAATGCATTACAAACCTAAAAAACATATATACATACATAACAAACATTAAATTTAGTATACAGTACTGTCAACTTTAGCAGATGCACAAAAAACTAGAACAACACCGATGTAAATTACAGTATAAATCGATTAAAATATTTTCAGCATTAATAAAAATTTAATCCTTTAAGGTTATGAATTTATCAACGTAATAATAAAGATTATGTAATTAAAAGAATTAAATTATTTATTAATACTGAAAATATATAAAAACTAATTTGCAATTGAATTGCACTCAGTGCATACCAGTGTTGCACTAATTTTCTTATTGGAAAACATTACAAGTTGAATTGAGAGAATACAATTAATTTACATTATTATATACTTAATTAATCTACAATACAATTAATCTCTTTCCAATTCTAGAATTGGAAAGAGATGAATAAGTTGAACCTCGCTTAAATAGAGTTAACTATGAATTGTGGAATTGGTCTTAAACAGTATTTGATCGATAAATTAATTAAAATCAATTTGAATTTGTCAAATGACTCCGGAAAAATCAACAGGAATGGCTGCGTTCAACAGAGTATCAAACATGAAATTTTTTTCCTAGGATGAAAAGTGAAAAGTGGAAAATTTTTTCATTAACTTCAATGGTTAAAATTTTCACTTTTTACTTTCCATCCTAGGGATAAAGTTTCATTGATACTCAGAACGTTTGCAACTGTTGGAAGTTTTCTTCACGCTGTTTTGGTTATGTTTTTAGATCAAGAAGAATGGTCCTATCTTAGCAGAGAATAATATAGTTGTAAAACTGTTGTATTCTGTTGAATGCCTATGGGCCTATTTTTTTGGCTGAATTTTTGCATCAGTTTATCTTTATTCCTCTTTTTTCCTTCTGGAGAAAAAAGAAAGAAAGATGAACTATGCAAAAGTTTAACCAAAAGAACAGACCTCAAGGAGTCGATTCAGTATCTTCAAACAAAGTGAAAATTACAAAAGTGAGCAAATTTACTAGGTGTTGGTCAATGAAATTATTAGTATTCTAGTAAGTTCGCTCACTTTTGTAATTTTCACCTCGGAATCGATTCTGTATCTTCAAAGTGAAAATTACAAAAGCAAGCAAATTTACTAGGTGTTGACTAATGAAATAATCAGTAGTCTAATAAATTCGCTCACTTTTATAATTTTCACCTCGTTTTTAAGATACAGAATCGTTCTCCTAATGACATGGCCTCTTGACTGGCCTAGTTTCCACTGAGGGTTTAAACCGATTAGATTAGATTAGAATGTAAGAATCAATCAACTACAGTCGAATATTCCTCTGTCACAGTCGAATGATAGGGGAATACTCAACTGTAATTGGTTAGTTCTTACATTCTGATCCGGTTTAAATCCTCTACTAGGAAACTAGGCCACTGTTGTAGTCAATAGGTCTGCTCGCATTGCTTGCACTTTTGGCACTCGATATCTTTGCTTTCTCTCTTTTTAAGGCAAAATATGTATCTATCTCATTTTAAGTGCAAAAATATTTGGGGATTTCATGCAACGCGAATAGACCTAATGCACCATCTGTCGACCTACGTCGTCATCCTGTTGTTGGTAACAAATTTAAAATGATTCTTAAAGCGGTTGTCCACTGTTCCGCGTGCGAGTTGCGAGTTCATGCAAGTTCGTGCAACGCAAAACATTCTTATACGTGATGTCAGGTCAGTATCATCGTCTCGTTGGTGAAATAAGAAGATAGGACGCACAAGGATTATATTTTACTTATTTATCACCACTTTTTGTTTATTTTTTACGGATTGATTTGATTCAAGAAATGGAAAGGACCGAAAGTAGCTTCACGCAGTGGCGTAATTCTTCCAATTATCGAGTCGAAGGCGATTCTGTGATAATTTCTGACAGCGAGGATGAGATCAATGATTCAAGAAAAAACGACAAACAAATAATCGTCGACGAAAGCATAGAGCTCGAGGATGATGTCGATAATTCTATCAAGGATACTACACCGAGGAAGTAAGTATTGATAAAATTATATAAATATTAGGTGGGAAAAAGTTCGTGGTGTTTTTTTAATGCCATCTAACGGGAAAAACGCCACGAACTTTTTCTCACACCTAATATATAAATTTTAACAATCACGTGAATTTCCATAAAAACTGGCCGGCTTTAATAGTATATTGTCGATATCGAGGCTAAATTCTGATAACATACCTTTAGCTATATGAAGATAATCCGTTTATTTGAAACGAAAAAAAATCACCTCGATGAACAGCGGTTGCCTTGTGATATCATCATGCGATATCACGCGAATTTCCACAAAAAAACGGCCGTCTATTGGTATATTGTCGATATCGAGGCTAAATTTTAATGACGTACTTATAGTTACGTGAAGATAACAAATTTGTTTGAAACAAAAGAATTACCTGACGATTGGCGGTTATCTTGTTTGTTGTGATACATTTTTTCGTTACAAAGAATAGAAATGACATTGGACGATAGGAGACTCAATGAATAATATTTATTTAATATTGATATTATAATTGTCTTATGTAATAATCGTATGTCAATTATTTACAAATGATATTTTATTTTTTCATTTACTGAACAATAGAAGAAAAAACAGTAAATGCGAATAGCTATAACGCGTATGAATTTTTCGAAACGATGCTAACTGGTTGCCCCCACCATTCCATCTTTCCGATCCCGTTTCTTGAATTTTCGATATCCATAATATTTCATAGAATACAAGTGATCTGTTTTCTGTTCCCGCATTAGATTGTTTTAGAACTCTCTTTCTTGCTTAAAACAAATATCAAGCGTATATTTATCTCACTTTAAGTTCCGAAAGTACTGGTTCAGCCACAGAAAAAAAATCACTTGTATCAAATTTAATGTATCTGGAACTAAAAAGTATAAAATTTTATGAACATTTTTAATTTATATTCATATTAATATATATTCAGTACATTTTTAATTAAATTTTAGATAGATATGCATGAAATTTAATGTAAGTAAACGTTAAATTTAAGTTACTTATACTTTTATTTGACAACATTAAATATTTTTAATGTATCTGCTTGAATTTTGCTTCCATTACATGTAATGGAAGCAAATTTTTTAATTACACTGTTAAAATGTTATGAAATTTAATGTATTTTTAAGTTACATAAATTCAATTTTATGACACTAAATTAAATTTACTGTATTTGGAACTGAAAAATATATTTGTGTACATGAAATTTAGTGTACTTTTCATAAAATTTTACGAAGTTTAATACATTTTTCATTAAATTTTACGTAGATTTGCGAAGAAATTTAATGTAAGTAAACGTTAAATTTAAGTAT